GTCGGTTTAGTAAACCGTCGGAAATCTGTCGGTTTATTGAGCCGTCGGAAATCCGTCGGTTTAGTAAACCGTCGAAAATCCGTCGGTTTATTGAACCGTCGGAAATCCCTCGGTTTATTAAACCGTCGGAAATCCGTCGGTTTATTAAACCGTCGGAAATCCATCGAACAACGATATACTGACGGATTTCCGACAGCTTTCCGAAGGATGGATTTCCGTCGGAAATTCCGACGGATTTCCGACAGAATTTCTATTTCCGACGATTAAACCGTCGGAAATCCATCGAACAACGATATACTGACGGATTTCCGACAGCTTTCCGAAGGATGGATTTCCGTCGGAAATTCCGACGGATTTCCGACAGAATTTCTATTTCCGACGAGATAGAAACGACCGACCAAAACCGTCGGAAAAGGCCTGTTTCCGACGGAATTCCGACGGTTTTGGTCGTCGGAATTCCGCCTGTTTTCTTGTAGTGCAGTTTACTGGTTATCACAAAGACTAAGAGTAGTACATAATGCCAATTTTGTAAGTGAGCCAAGTACACGACAGTAAAGGCATATGGTTGGAAGATTTCATGCCCAACTAAAATAAAGCATTTTATGTGGCAAGACTTAACGGGTGCATTGGTAGTTTCGACAAGATTAAATCAACGTAGAATTAATTGTTCGCCTAATTGTGTAAGACGTGGGTTAGACGAGGTGATCAGTAACCATGATTGATTTGAATGTCACACCGCTTTAAAAAGTTGGGAACTTTCCTCTATTTCTTTAGATAGGGAATCGTCTCATTTTCCTCAGGTTTTAAAAACTTAGTTTTTCTCTTCTGGAGAAACCGAAGGCATGAAAACCATGATGGAGAAAATAATATAGTTTTTCGTGGCTTACAGGGTTTATTTGGAAATCAAGTAATATAATTGAAGGGAGTTTCAAGGAACTGGTTTTGAAGGCCCAAATATACTACAACTCACATAGAGCAAATGTTTGGCATGGCGAGAAGCCAAACTAGTAGACCAAGTCTAGAGGTAGTGGATTAGAATGTGATTCAACAATGAACTAGTATTCTCTGTAAAGTGGATGGATCCCGAAAGAAGAAGACGGATGCAACTTTAGAATTGGTTTGGATTTAGTGCTAGGGGGACTACACGCTGATACTCGGGGCAAAAGAATGAAGAAAAAATGTTAACCA